TATATATATATATATATATATATATATATATATATAAACACTGTTTTTATGCACAGCAGAAGAGGGAATCAGACTCCATTACAGATAGTTGAAAGCCACCATGTGGTTGCTGGGAATCAGACTCTGAAAGCCACCATGTGGTTGCTGGGAATTGAACTCAGGACCTCCAGAAGAACAGCCAGTGCTCCTAACCAATGAGCCATCTCTCCAGCCCCCTTGGCTACATTTTAAAATTGTGGTGTGTATGTGTGTGTGTGTAGGCATATGTGGAATTCAGTAATTTCTTTCCATTATGTGGATTCCTGGGATCAAACTCAGCTCATTAGGCCTACCACTAGGAGCCTTTACCTACGAGCCACTTTGATGACCCCTGTCATTTTAGCATACTATCCCAACCACCGTGAGCTGATACTGCCGACCCACCGTAGCCATCTAGGTAAAGTCCGTGGCTTGGTGCGGAGGGGCCGAGGGGCCTCTTCCCTTAGCTGAGCCAAGCACACACACAGGGCAGGCACTGTCTTTGGTGAGGCCCGCCCCTTCCCAGACCTGCCCCACCTGCTCTCTGCACAGGGTCCCTCAGGACCCCATATCTCTGCCTCTCACATTTACGCTTCTGGGGTGAGGCCTTGGATTCGCTTCCGTGGAAGTAGACTGCACCCCAGAGGCAGGCAACTCCACGAGCCTGCTGTGGCCTGACGAAGGCTAGCCTGTCCCCAAGTCTGCCAGCCCCTGAGGACAAGGCCCCCTCCCACACTCTCAGAAACCTGCAGGGCAAACTGGGGCTGGGCCCTGTCCCCAACACCCTGGACCTTGCCACCACACGGCCACAGACCTGTCCTCACCTGTACGTGTATGCTGTCCCTCTTGAGGTGCTTGTCGGCTAAAATATCGTTGATGCTTCTCTTCATCTTATGCTTGAGGCCTGTGAAGGACAGACTGTGACTTCAGGGGCACAGACAGTGTGTGACTTCAGGGACACTGCCTGGAAGCCTCCCTGCCTCATCAGTTCAGGCCTGCAAAGCTAACAGAAGTAGGAAGGGAGAAGAGAAAGGCCGGACACTTGAGAGGCTGTTTCCAGCTGCAGCCAAGGCCTGTCGAAGGTTCAGAAATGCTGGGCAAAGGGCTCCCCAGTGGCTCCCAATGGGAGGCCGGCTTACTTCGTTGTTGATCTTTAAAACCACAATAGGAAGTGTGATTATCATTTTCAATTAAGAGAAGGGAGCTGGAGGCAAGAACGCACCCTCCATTGACTCTGCCTCCAGCAAGGGTTGAGCCCAGGATTTGAACCCAGGGAGGCCCTCTGTACCTCTCCCGAGGTCCAGCCTAGGAGCCACACCACCATCAAAGGATCTGGGGTGACCCTCTGGCCCCTCAGTTTCCTTCCTTGCCCCGGGGCAGCGGTAGGAAAATGCCCACAGATGGTGAGGTGGCATGAGGTGGCAGGTGACAGAGTCGCTGGCACTTACCTTCAAACTGCAGTGCCTCGCCATAGCCCTCCTCCTTCTTCTCCTGGAACAGCTGAAGGCAGGCACTGGGGCTAGCCAGGAGCAGCCGGAAACCCTGCCACAGAGCACAATACATGGCTCAAGGTATGCATTTGTTCGAGGCCAGAGACCTCCAAGGACTCAGTTCAGGAGCCTGATGTGCTTTGGGCTTTATTCTCCCCCTTCCCTGTCCGCCCCACCCACCACCCAAGTGGTCCGCTCACAGGCCATTTTTGCACAAGGGTCTCCCTGCCTGGAATCCTGCTCACTTTGCTCCCAGGAGGCTCAAAAGATTCCTGCCTTCCACCTAATCCAGGTCTCTCCCTGCTCCAGCTGCTCACTGTTCCTACCCTCCTCAGAGCTCTCCCATGCTGGACCAGAATCACTGCGTGCGCACGCACCCCCCCCCCCCCGGCAGTTCTGCTCATGAGGTCTGAGGGCTGCTTTCTTCCTACCCCTCTCTACAAGGCAGTGGAACTCTGTGGCCAGTGTAGAGACCGGAGCCCACACCTGTTTAAAGTCCTCCCCAGCCACCCATAGGTTGTATGGACCTGAGTGAAGCTGGGTTTCCTTATCTGTAAAATGGAGGCAGTAATGGCCCTGTTGGAGGGTTACATGGGTAAAAAGTGTGTATGAGTCCGGCATACAGTAGGTACTAGAGTCATATCTCCAACTCTTACTGGTGTCATTTCTGACTCTTACAGGACCAGCAGGAAGCACACAGTGTCCTTCTGGCCAGAGGCTTTTACTCCTCAGGGAAGCACAGCCTAAGCCTCAGGCCATGCTGAACCCACAGGACTGAGCTGGCGGCATTACTGGTGCCCTGAGGTCCTCCCCGCCCCCCATCAGGCCGGATGGGGCAGAGGTGACTCAGTTGGAAGTCCGTGGGCTGGTGAAGCAGGGACACACCTTTTGGTCAGAGGTGGGGACAAAGGTCATAAACTCATCCACGTGGCCCACGGAAAGCCAGTCGGAGTAGAGTTCCACGGGCGCCTGCACCTGCTGGGCCTGCAGGAAGTCACGGACCACCCTGGCCATCCGACGCCCGCTGGACCTGTGGGGGAGAGACTTGGGCAATCTCCTTGTGCCCCTCTGTGCATCTCGCATGCCCTCACAACCAGAGGGGAAACCGAGGCTCAGGGAGCTACGGTGACTTAGTCTTGGCCACACTGCTGAGAAAGGCCAGGGCTAGACTCCACCGATTACAGGCCCAGAGATTTGAAGCCCAAGCTGAGGTCACTGGGAGTGAGGGTGGAAGGACATCCCAGGAGGAGAGAGGTAGACACCAGCGGCCAGGGGACAGGTGGGGCATGGCAGATGCAGGCCAGGCCAGGGTCAGGGGTCAGGCTTGGCAAGAGGTGGAGCTTGTTTGAGTGAGCCCAGCCAATCACCCTGTGGAGTCTGAAGACTGCATGTTGACGTAGTCTTACTCATTCCAGAGTGTGGGGATTACACACTGCCTCTGGCATCTGGGTTCCCTACTAACCAACCCCCAGAAGTGTCTGAGGCAAGATCTAGCATTTCCTAACCACCCTTTAGCTGGGGAGAGTGCAGCAGGAAGCTTCCTCCAACACCTCCCCATGTAACGGAGGATGGCTTTGAACTCCTGACCTTCCTACTTCTACCTCCCAAGTGCTGAGGTTACAAGCATGCAAGACTACAACTGGTTTCTACGGGGCTAGGGATTTTACTTAATAATTCAGGATGTTACCAACTGAGCTACATCCCTAGGCCCTGGTCTCGGCTTGGGCTTCAAATCTCTGGGCTCGGATCATTAATGTCTGGCTTTGACCTTTTTCAGCAATGTAGACCAGGCTGCCTTCTCAGCTCTCCAAGCCTTACTTTCCCCTCTGGGAAGGAGGACCCACTCAAAGGGTTATTTTATATAAAAAGATCCTGTCCCCAACCAACCTTTCAGCTTAAGGTCATGTCACCCACAAGCTCTCTGACCTGCTTCCACTGTGGAGGCTCTGCCCTAAGCAAGAAGCGATGTGGCCCTTCTTTGTTCTCAGCAACTGGAAGCCTTCTTCCCTGGGTGGCCAGTGGCCTTGTCCTATTCCTTGATGCCTGTCTCAAACTTGATCCTTTATGCTGTATCCAGAGGGAGGCTTTTAAAAGTCCAACTATGGGCCTGGAGAGATGGCTCAGAGGTTAAGAGCACTGGCTGCTCTTCCAAAGGTCCTGAGTTCAATTCCCAGCAACCACATGGTGGCTCACAACCATCTATAGTGAGATCTGGTGCCCTCTTCTGGCACACAGGTGTATGTGCAGGCAGAATACTGTACACATAGTAAGTAAATAAAAAAATTTTTTAAGTCAGACTGTCTCCTGGTTGAAACCCTGATGCCACTCCTATCTCACCTCCAGATGGCTTCTAAGGACCTCCTTCTGATTTCCCCATGGCCCACTCTCTACCCAGCCCCACCCTGGCCCTAACCCTCTCCTCTCATACTCACTCTGGTTTCCTGCTGTCCTCTGAACTTCCTAGATCCATTCCTCCCTCAGGACCTTTGTACCTACTCTGCCTTCCCTCTGGAGTCACAGCCTTCTCCCCAGCATCTCATGGCTCCCCTCTTGCCTATTCCAGGTGTAACTCAAATCTTGCCATCTTTCTCTGAGGTTTTGACAAATGGCGGTCACATCCCAACCCCCATCACAGCTTCATTTTTCTCCATGGCACTGGTTACCACCTAAAATACTTATTTGCCTAGGTCTCAGTCCTTGCTTGGATGCGCACTGTACCGGACTTTAGCCTAGGGGTCTAAACGGTTTCCTGCTCAAGCCCCAGCCTCTCTCATAGAACATCTGTTTCAAAAAAAACTGGTAAACAAGGCAAACGCTTTGGAGCAGCTGCCTAATAGACAGTCTGAAGTCTAGAGGCTTCAGAGGCAGCTCAGTTTGCACAGTGTTTGCCTGCCATGCATGAGGTCCTGGGTTCAATCCCTGATACCACATCTACGGGATGTGGAGGCAGGAGGATCCTGGGCTGTATTTTGAGTTTGAAGTTAACCATGGGTACACGAGACTGACCCAGAAAGTAAAGGAAAGAAAGAAAGAAAAAAAAAAAAGGAAGGAAGGAAGGAAGGAAGGAAGAAAGAAAGAAAGAAAGAAAGAAAGAAAGAAAGAAAGAAAGAAAGAAATTGAAGCCTGGCAAAGACAGGCTTGACAAAGGCACAAATGAAGCTCCTGGTTGAAATTGTGGGTAGAAGGCAGGAACCACATTCTTATGGCCGTTAGTTTAATATAGCATGGGCTGTTTTGAAGGCCGAACAATGAGAAACAGTCCAGCAGGTGTAGGGCCAGGCCTCTCCACGGGACCCTCTCCCACCCTCCTTTCTGGAGGCTGGGGCAGAGGAGGTGGTCCCTGCCCCGGAATCGGCAGATTGGGCTCTGCAGCATCACCAAAGCCAACACCAGGGGGCGGAATTGTTCAATGCTCTGAGCTCAGGAGTGGAGAGGGATCTAGCTTGTTGGGTACCCACTGTGGGCTCAGCTTAGGCTCCTACACTGCTACTTCCTTTAGTCCTCAAGATCATCTTGAAGCTGGGAGGTGGTGGCGCACGCCTTTAATCCCAGCACTGAGGAGGCAGAGGCAATCGGATCTCTGAGTTTGAGGCCAGCCTGGTCTTCAGAGTAAGTTCTAGGACAGGCAGGGCTACACAGAGAATTGCTGTCTGGACAAAACGACCAAACAAACAAACAAAAAAAGATCATCTTGGGATGCACATAGGAAAGCAATGTCACCATCTGAGGTCACCCTACTCTCTTTCTCATCTCGTGCCTCATGGGCCTCTCTTTTCTCTCTCACCTTCATCCCCTATGTCCTCCCAGCCCTGTAAACCCTCTGGCGCATTCCTACCTCAGGGCCTTTGTAACAGCTGCTGTCTTTCCCCGGAACCTTCTCCTTCTGAGCCGTCAGGCCTGGAACTCTCTTCCTTCAAGACTTCATCTCCCTGTTGGATTCTTACCAAGGTTGAGGAGACAGGTACTAATACCTACTGTGTGCCATCCATAGAGTCCTCTCCCAGGGCCGAGTCTAATAACAAGGCAGCCCCATGAGGCTAGGGCTGGCACTGTCCCCATTTTACAGATGCTGTGGCTCACTGGGACTTATTTTGTTTTTAATGGCAGGGTCTCACTGTGTAGCCCTGGCTAGTCTGAAACTCACAGAGACCAGGCTGGCCTGGAACTCACAAGAGATCTGCCTGCCTCCACCTCCCGGGTGCTGGGATTAAAGGTGTGTGCCACCTGCTAGGATCTTGAAGGTGGCCTGCTCTGGTCTGCCAAGGACAGATGTCAGGGAGGACACAGGACAGCAGCCTAACTTGCCAAATCCTACATTAGGACCCAAAGAGGACACCTGGATTTGCGCTGCTCTCTAACCCTGTGGCTTTAGACCAGTAGCCTTCCTTCTCTGAACACCAAGGTCTCATTTGTCCACCAGGGCCTTATTCCTGTTTTTGTTTGTTTAAACTGTTCACAGGCTGGTGTACAGCTCCTGGGTGAGCCACAGCCAACGGGCACCTGGAGACGCCTGTCTCCCTTGCAGGCCCTTGATGCGAACCTACAGACCCCAGAAACAGTCTCTGCAGCTCGAATGGGAAAAGCCCCTGACTGGGACGGATGTGTTTCCTCCACCCCGACTCCAAATCTGTGTGTGTGTGTGTGTGTGTGTGTGTGTGTGTGTGTGTGTGTGCATGTGTGTGTGTGAGGTGTCTTCCTCTATGGCTTTCCACCTTGTTTTGGGGGACAGGTTCTCTTACTGAACTTGGGGCTCACTGTTTCTGCCAGCTTGGTTGGCCAGGGAGCCCCAGGGGTCCTCTTGTCTCTGCCCCTCCCTCCAGTGCTGAGATTACAGATGTGGGCTGCAATGTCAGCTCATTACCACGGTGCTGAGGATACAAACTCACCCTTGCAGAGCAGGCACCTTACCCACTGGGCCATCTGGCCAGCCCCAAGGGAGAGGGCCTTTATGAGGCCCGTTCTGGAGCTGAATAAAATGAGGCATGGCATATAAAAGAAATCATTTGTCTAAAGCACATGAGCATTGCTCACTCGTCCTGAGGACTGCCTTTTCTGGGTGCTGGTTTTTGTTTGCTGTTGTTTTGCTGAGTCGCCCCCCCCCCCCTTTTAGTTTGTTGGGTTTTGGGTTTTGGAGACAGAGCCTCACTCTGCAGCCAAGGCTGGCCTTGAACTCATAATCTTCCCACTTTAGCCCCCTGGGTACTGGGGTTATAGGGTTGTACCACCATGCTCTGCACCCATAGTACTTTCACCCGTGTCTGGCACATGACCCTAAATTCACCACTGACTATTTGCCGGACCTCATGGTGAGTACTGGCTGAGTGGCACTGTGGGCATGGGACCCCGAAGACTCAAAGATTCCTCCCTGAGGACCTCCAGGCCTGAAGCCCAAGCTGTGGCAGGACCAGCCCCTGGGCACCCTCTGAGGTGGGTGTCCAGCAGGACCTCTGTCCATCTCCAGGTAGCCCAGTGCAGCGGGTCCCGGCACCTAGCTTTGTGCCTCATGTGGTACCAGCAAACCCCACCTTGTCTGATTTAGCAGCTGCAGGCTCTCTGCCTCAGGCTTTGTGGCCTTTCCATAGCCAGGGGTCAGCTGGGGTTCAGAGGGCAAGTTGAGGCACACCCCAGGCTCCACACCAACCTCCACAAATGAAAGGGGCATCCAAGGTTTGTGGTGGGGTGAAACCCCTGTGGGCTTTAAGGAGCACACCTCCTCTAGTTATGCGGGGGCAGGGAGGGGCCCCACACAGCATGGTGAGCAGACATCTTCATTTGTCTCAGCGTTAAACCAGCCCTAAACTCCACCACAGTTGGCCAGCACGAGGCCACCAACATGCTCTGCCATGAGGGTACCCGGCCAGCTGCTCGCTCAGTTCCAGCTACCTGTTCTGCCTCGGGGCCCTTCCAAGGTAGGACAGGAGCAATTTTGGCTTCCCTATGTCTGTCCCTATTTAAATGGCAGAGGGTAATGTCACCACCCAGCTTGGCTGACCTCAGGCAGGTTCTCATTAGCCGAGGCTGGCCTTGAATTCTCCATGTAGCTGAGGATGACCTTGAGCTTCTGGTCCTTCTGCCTCCACTTACCCCAGTCTTAGGACCACATCTTGTGACACCTCTCTTGGCTTACTTCCTCCAAGCTGGAGATCAAACCTGGGGACTCATGCATGTTAGGCGAGCCCTGTCGGTGGGCGGGGCTCACCCCCAGCCTCTGACATGCTGCTTTATTGTGGTAATTATGCTTATCAGACTCTGGGCCACTAATTTGACCGTGAGACCTTATGAGCCTTGGGACAGTCATTCCCACGGGCTAGAGAACATCTCCCAGTCTGGGTTCAGTGACAGTCACTCCATGGCTCTGGAGAGAGCCTCCCAGTCTGGAGAGCCATGTGGGTGAGCTCATTGCACCCTCCCACACCGGCACCCCCCAGGCCACTCACTTGGGGAAGCTGCCACCGATGAGGATTCTGCCAAGGGGGTACTCCCTGTTACCCACCGTCACCGGCGGGCTCACGTCCAGGTTGCCGAAGGAATCCAGGCCAGAGGCGCCTGCGTACTCGATCTCCCGGGTCACATATCCAAAGTCAGGACCCTGGGAAGATGGCTCAGGAGGTAAAGAAAGCATTTGCCTCTCAAGTTTGATCCCCAGCACCCACGTAAAAGCCTGGCGTGGTAGCACACACTTGTGACTCTGGGGATGAGAGGTGGGGTAGACATGGGTGGAACCCTGGCACTTACTGGTCAGCTAGCTTAGCCTGACTGGCAAGCCCCAGGCCAACAAGAGACACTGTCTCAAAAAAAAAAAAAAAGATAAGCGGCACAGTAAGCATGTAAGATAAGCATGCCCTGGTAAGGCGTGCTCACTAAGGGTACGTTGCCCTCAAGGCCAGGGCTGGCATTTCTGTTGACTCCCCACTGAGAATGAGCCCCTGACCAAGAACATTCCTGTTCTGTCTCTCCCAGGATGAAGGTGTAATGGAGGGGGTGTCTATTTGCATGTGATTTGCATTCTATTTGCATCCTCAGCTGGACCCTTCCACCCACTCTCCAGTTTGCTGCCACCACCCCCATCAGTCTCTGGACCCTAAAAGACCAGGGTTCCCAGGAGAGGAGCCACCAAACCCAACTTCTGCATCCACCCCCCATGCCTGTGTACTTGGCCACACACCAGGATCTTTTTAAGGGCGAAGTCCCTCAGGCCTCTGTTTCTCGGGGAGTCAAAGACCACAGGGAAGGATTTATGAGGGGCATCGATGTAGCCAAACTCCATCTCATCCTGTGTAAGGAAGAAAAATCTACAGCAGGCTTCCTCCTCAGGGGCTTTCAGAAAAGACAACCCAGATAATGGTACCACCCATGACAGGGGGAGTGGGGGATGGTGGGACTCCATCTAGAAGAACCAGCCAGAGCCAGGACTTCTGGAGGAGCCTCCTTCTGGAAAATGGCCCCCAGTCCTGGGCCAGGCAGACCTATGTCCCCAGGCTTGGCTTCCGTCCTCCCAGGCGCCCACCACCCACTCACAGTCCTTCTCTGGGTCAGCCTGGTACCCACCTGGATCCAGCGATCATTGCGATTTTCTACCCGGGGAACGACCACAAGGTTGCAGTTGGCCTTCAGGGCCAGGTGGGCCATATCCTTTAGAAACTTGTCATTGTGGCCGTGAGCGTCTGTCACGCTGCAAGGACAGTGGCAGCAGCTGGGACCAGAATCCAGCTGTGCCAGGCCCTGTGTCCCTGAGTGCTGAGCTTCAGACCCATTCCTACCCTGGAGAGCCTGGGGGCTCGGGAGTTGGGGGCAGAAATTCGTGGCCTAAATCACACCAGGTGACCAGCATGAACAGGGCAAAGCCAGGCTATGGCGCCCAGGGGCAGGGTGTCTGAACCAACCTAGATGGTCCAGGGTGGCTATGGCGGTGACCTGGGGTTGATGTCACGGATGGAATGGGCAGAGCAGATTGGTGAGGACTCTGAGCAGATGCTCCTGCCTCCAGGCAGAAAAGTAACCCTGCTTGAGCACATTGGCTACATTTTCTTGCTACACATCTTTGCATCTAGCTCAGAGGAGCCTGTCTTCACTCCTATGTGTGATATCTCAAGGGCTGACCAGCAGAGGCCACCAGACACCAGTACATGGCAGAAGGACCGGGACAGCCAGAATAAGCAAGGCTCACAGTGGACCCCGTGGCTGGGTCCTTAGGTCCTCAGAAGACGCAGAAGTGTTTGCAAAAGGTTGAGGCCAGGTCCCCATGGTCCCTGGCACATACCCCTTGAGGCCCCGCCAACCAGATTCTGTTTTGATTTGTTTTTAAGACAGGGTCTCATGTAGCAGAGGCTGGATTTGAACTCCCGATCTTCCTCCTTGTGCCTCCCAAATGAAGAATCACAGGCCTGCATCACCACATCTGGCCCCACTACCCAGATTGAATTCAAGGTGTCTGGGCCTGTGTAGCAGCCGACTTAGAGCTGCTGCTGGTGGCAGAGGTGACATCCACTGTGGTCCCATGGCAGCTCAGGGCTATATGACAGCATCCCTGAGAGAGGCCAGCCTCACAGCGTTATCACATACTGGTTTTGGCAAGGCGGGGCCAGGGGGCTCACCTGCATACATACAGCTCCAGCGGCGGCTGGGTGTTGGGGGTCATGATCCAGGGGGCCACTCGGAAGGTCACGCTGTCTGTGAAGAGTGAGGCCTCGGAGAGGGCCTGGGGGAGAGGAGTGCTCAGTGGCTTTGTGGGTTCCCGGCTGCCCTCTGTCCCTGACCCCACCTCCCAGCCACAAAATTGTACCCACCTCCGTGTCTACCAGGCTGGCACTCAGAGAGACCAGCCCTGAGAAGCTGGTGTCGGGGAAGGTGAGTCCTTCCACGTAAAACTTGATGTCTCTCTCCCCCGGACGCCGCTCCACCTCATAAGACTGATGGTGGGGCCCTAGCACCTGTTTGTAGTTGGAGAGGGAGGTCCCACCTAAGGAGAACAGGGTCAGGCCAACGTGGGGACAGGGTCAGACTGGTGGGACAGGAGGACAGGAAGCCTGTGGCTGGAACCTGGGCCTGAAGCATCTCTGAGGGGGTGCGGGGGGGTTCTGCTTGAGTACCATTCTAGCTCTGCGACGCAGAAGCTGTGTGGTCTCGGATCGATGCCTCAGCCTCTCTGAGCCTCAGCCGAACTGCATAGCAGATAAATAGAGAAGAGCATCTGGCCCAAAAGGTGATGATGATCCAAGCACCTGTCCATGGTGCTTATGAACAAATTATGCCAAATAAGGGACATCCATCGATGGACAATTACGTAGCCACAAAAAGCGAGCAAGTGACAGGTGTGTACCACACAATGGGTGAATCTCATTTGCGGTGACAGAGGATGGGAGTGGCTTCTCATGGGTTTGGTTTTTACTTGAGGTGATTGAATACACCACCACCGAACTGCACGCCAGGCCCCTGAAGCTGCAGTTCTGATGAGTAAACTTTAGCAATTCAGCCAGAATTTGAAGCCAGGACCTGGGCCCCAGCCTGTAAGGTCCCTGACCCTCCCTGCCTACTGGATGGGGCCATCAGATAGCAAGAGTTTAGTGCAGGCAGACTGGCTTGAGGAGCCAACAAGTCATGTGGGATCAGGGAGGACCTCAGTGCCCGGGAAGCCTGGCTTGGAACTCTTGCTCTACCCTGTGTAGCCCTGTGACAGTGACTGCACGTCTGGGCTTCCATTTCTCCCTCTGCGCAATGGGACCAGCAGTCAGGGACACCCGTGCTTGGCTGTCATACTGTTCCCTGACAGAGTAGGCATGACAGCCACAATGAGTTACCAAAGGGTGACAGAGGCAGAGAGCCATGGAAGGACAGATGTGACGGGCCGCCACCGCTCACCCCGGGCACAGAAGACCCTCAGCCTTCTGGAATCGGGCAAAGACGCCTTCAAGAACAGCTTGTGGCTCTCAAAGAGCTCGTCGGGGCCACGGCAGCTCAGCACCACTGGGGACATATCCTGCAGGTCTGGGAGAGTGGCTTGTGAGACAAACACCCCCAACCAAGACCCCCCTTCCCTCCCTCCTCGCCTCCCATGCCTATCATCGCTCACCCTCCAGTGACCTCAGATGGCTGGCATGCAGGTCTTCCCTGGACCCATGGACAGCGTCTCTGTCACAGTTCACCAACAGGATGGCCCCGGAGCCCCGGGAGCCCCAGCGCCAGGTTTTCTGTGGCACACAGGAAGGCTTGGGTTAGTCAAGCCTGGGGATTCTGGGAAGAGGACTAGACATGGTGTGGGTTGGCTCAGTGGTTAGCTCAGAAACTTTTATATTCTGGCTTCGCGTAACGATTTCAAGAGGGACCATGGGCACAAAGAACAGAACTTTCAGTGAGGCTTGGATTCAGAGACATCCATCTGTGGGCCATGGCGCTACCTAAGACTCACTCTGACCTCCATGAAGAAGACTCCCTCATCCCAGCATTCTCCTGGGCCTGACAGCCACCAGTGTCATACCAGTCCTTCCAGGCCGTGGACACAGCTTTCCTGACTGTGGGTCACTACTGTCTCCAACACCCTAAATCTTTTCTCCATTTTTGCAAGAAAGTAAAGAGAAACTCCGAGACCACACAGTTAATATTCAAACCCAGAACATTGTAGGACCTTACGGGTCCATGGTTTGCTTCCATGGCACTCTGTGGGGGCACTCTTGCCCACCCCACTGAGCAGACACCACCTTGTGCCAGGGCCCAAGACATGGTTTTGTTGTAGCCCTCAACTACAATCCCCTCAAACAACCTCATGGAGTCAGTGACCCACACAGACGTTCAGGTGTCTGGTTCCACCTTGTCCACAGAGCCTTTAGATCCAGGCTGCCTCTCCGAGTCTTTCCCTGAACACGGTACCTCCTGTCCCTGCGTGAGCTGCTTCACGCTTCCCGTTGGACAAAGCCATTCTCTTTATTTTCTGTGGCCTAGCTGTAGCTGAACACCGTAGCCCCCTCTACCAGAGGGAGACCAACCAGTTATGCAGCAACCTTCCATGAAGCACCTGCCATGTGCAGAGGTCCAGATCCAGCCCCCTGAACAGAAACTGCAGCAGGCAGAATTAGACAGACCAGGAAGGGTACGTGTTTTCCCAGCAGTCACACAGCATGTCTGTCACACGGCCTAAGCTACTGCTCACTTGAGCCAGTTTGGCTATCCTTCCACGGGCAGAACGGATCCTGGGGTTGGCTGCTCTTCCAGAGGGAGGGCTGTCTGCTGCCAAGATCACCCAGGTCTCTGCCTGTCAGTGCCACACTCTTGGGGTGTCCAGGGTCTCACCTTGTCAACTGAGCCTTTCTTCACCTTGCCTGTGCGGCTTGTGTCGGCATCGAGGGACACATCTGTGAAGGATACACGGGTCAGCTGTCTCTGTGATGGTGGCCCCGCCAGCTTGGCTCCCACCTTGGCTGATGAGGACCCCCAGGCCCAGCTCTGGAGACCTGACATTCAGGAACCCATGTGCTGGTCCCCGGAGCTCTGGCTAGAGTGACAGTGGCAGTTCCGGTGTTGGAAGGACCCAAGTCACTGGCTTGGTCATGTGCACTGGGTGGCTATGTCTTGGTGACCCTGGGTTTCTATGTCACATGCAGGGGATCCTGTAGCCACTGGGAACCTATGATCAGGATCGGTCATCAAAGGAGGCTGCCATGGGCTCTGGGTGAAAGAGGCACATGGCTTTTCATGGTTCTAAGTTGGGTGTCAGGGAGCCAGAGATGTGTGGGAGCCCCTCCCATGAGGAAGCCATTGTGCCCAAGCCCGTAGCAGTGACATTTCTAGACCCGGCTGGCCCTAAGCATCTCAATCCATAGGTCCTGGAGACGTTTGGTGTTCCCAGGAGGCAGAGGGGAGAGGCGGCTGGCTGAGGCCTTCCCCTCTGAGGCCCTACAACCTTCAGTCACCTTCACCACGGTCCAATAGCTACCACAGCCAGGCAGAAGGACTCACCAACACCAGTGAGGTACAGCATGCTGTGGCCCAGGGCTCCAGCCTCCTGTGACTCGAAATATGATACTTTCACCTGGGGGAGAAAGTCAACCCTGAGAAGGCAAGGTAGGGAATAAGAGAGACACACCTACAGCCCCCCTTTAAGCTAGAGGCTTCAGGCCCAGGGTGGAGGCAAAGCTATTTGGCAATTATGTCCTGGGGTACTGTTCCAAGGCCCCAAGCAATCTGAGGAGAAAGGAGGGCTATAAAGCTGGATATGGTGACTCCAGGACATTCCAGGATATGAGAGGGACAGACAGAGAGGGGCCACTGTCCCTACTGGCCTCGGCAGCTTGAGACCTTTCTTGGCACCGTTCATTCTCTGTACGGAGGGAATGACAGCCCCGATCCTATTGTCATAGTAAATTACAGGACTTTTTCCAAAGTCCAGACGCCCACCCCTACCCCACCTGCCCCATGTGGCAGGATTCCTTCCAGGGAAGCGTGTCACAGGCAGTCACGTGCAGAGCCACACACAGGCTCTTGGCTCATCCATCCCGGAGAAAGCTGTGGGCCAGCAGTCGAGGGGACACCGTGTGGGGGAGACGCCAGGGCCAGCAGGGAGCTGCCAGGCAGAGGTGGCTTCTGATAGCTGTGGAGGCTTGACTGGGTGAGCTGGGACCCTGCGTGAGTACGGGTGAGTGTGGCCATGGAGTCCTGACTGGGGAGCACAGACATTTGGGGGCAGCTGGAGGTGTGTGGATCTGAAGGGTGGCCAGGCTGTTCCCGTGTGCTGTGTGGTGTTGGGGTGCGTGAGGTGGGCAGTGGGTCTGTGACTCTGTGGAGCTGTGTCAGGAGATGAGGGGACATGTGGCATCTTCTAGGCCCAGACTCTGAGTGGGGCTTACCCTGAGGTCATTTAAGTCCTTGCTGACTGTGTCCGCCACCACCACCACATCCACGTCGGCATCCAGCGGCCAGCGGGCCCGGCCTGCAGGCTCTGGCACCCGTGCGGGGTCGTAGAGCATGTAGACCTTCACCTCCGAGCTCCCAGACACCCCAAAGGTCTTGGCGCCCTTGGGTACATCACTGTGGAAAGAGGGGGAGGAAGAGACCGGGGGTCTCAGAGACTGGCCAGCTGTTCAGAAGACATCCCTCACCAGTGGGGCGGGGGAGGGCCCTGCCTCCAAGTCTCTCTCTGCCCCCACATGGTCCTTCCTGCTGGTTCATGAAGACACCTGGCTGCCCTGTCTCAGAACCTTCATATAGCTGAGTGTCCCCCCGAACCCCCATCCCACATGAATGTCCACAGGGCTCACAGCCTCAGACTTTAGGGCTCTGTTTAAATGTCCCCTTGTCAACAACCCTGCTCAGGTGGTTAGGGTTAACTGTCAAGTTGACACATCTGGGAATCTGGGCCTTAGAGCATGCCTACGCGGGATTGCCTTGATTCATTAATTGACACAACAGGTTAGTGAGATGGTTCAGCAGGTGTTTGCAGCCAAGCCGGATGATCTGAGTTCGATCCCCAAGGCCCGAAAGGTAGAGCGAAAGAACTGACTAAAGGGAGGAGGGACTTATTTGGGGTCAAAGTTCAAGGTGCAGCCAGTCATAGTGGGGAAGTCAAGGCAGCAGGAGCTTGCAGCAGCTGGCCACATCTGCCCAGTCAGAAGAAGCGAGCTCAGGCCCTCCTCCCTGCAGTTGGTTCATCAGCCCCACTGTTTTATCAAAGCAATGGCAAAAGAAACTAACATCCACCCACCCCTGCCAGCTAAGCCAGTCACCTTCTGCCCTTTCCTGCTTTATCATGTCCAGCTGCCCTGCTCACTCAGTCCCACAGGACAGCCAGTTTGCCTAGCCTGCTGCTAGATCCTCAGAGTGTGGACAGGGCCCTCAGCAGCCATGTGGGGAGGAAGGAATGGACTCCCACTTTCTGCCAACCCTCAGGGGTCTCCCAGGGCCATCTCACTGGAGTGGGGCAACAGTACCCACAGATGAGGGCCCCACAGAGCAGCTTCTCTCTGCCCGCCTGGCACCCCATACTCAGCTGGAGCCCCAGATCTCTTGGCTCGGGAGAGACAGGGAGCCGTCAACCTGCTGGGCCCCTCAGCTGCTGGGCTACCTGCCTGGGGTCCTTCCCCAGCCACTGCTTCAGATGGGGCAGACTCGGGCTATGGGGCACCCAGAGTCAAGCCAGCAGGGCCCTGGGGAGAAGTGTTGCCCATTGACTTGACAAATGCTAGCTGCCTGCCTCTGTGTCAGGCACTAGCTGGGCGTCAGGCTATGCAAAGCCCTCCTCCCTGAGGAGTCATCAGAACAGGGGGCCATATATGCACGTCTCCTGCCCAACCCATCAGTGCTCTGGGGTTGACCATAGCTACTCACGGCTGAAGACAAGTGCACATACCGAGGTCCCCCCGGCCACACAGACAAGGTGCGAGGTCTTTCCTCTTATTCTCCTGCCTCTCCCCTTTCTTGGACCCCTGAGAATCCATGCAAGCAAGCCTCTGGGGAAAACCCTTCCACATCCCCTTTCATAGTCACCCTGTCTCCACCATGTAACTGTCTTCACTGACAATAATGACGAGGGCCACAATCCAGTCACGCTCTATGGCTCGCCACAGCCCCACTCTACTGATGAGGCAGAAGCAGAGGGGAGAGCCAGAACACCTGAAGCCTCCCCTGACCATCCCAGAGCTTTCTTCACTCTGCACATCCATCGCCATGGAAACCTCATGGAAACATCTCATTCCCTCTGTTTCTTCCAGGTGTCCTCATCTTTTGATTTAGAGTGGCATTGATCATAATGGACCCCCCTCCCATCCATAGTGGCTACGTCCTTCTGAAGCCTTATCCCCGTGGCTACTGCCATTCTGCCCACGTGGCTTGGGTCCCCAGCTGTTCCTCCTTGTCCTAAACTGGTCTTGAGGTCGCTAAAGAACCAAGGATGACCTTGAATTCCTGAGCCTCCAGCCCCTGAAGTGAATTTGTTCAGATATCAGCATGTACAAGACGCTGCCCCCTCCCTGCTGGCTGTCACTCTGACCTTGCCCTTGGAGGGTGCCAGCTCCCAGCCCTCCGCAGCCTGCCATCCCCAGGTTTTCTTTGTTGTCAATGGCACTAGCATCCTTGACAGCTCCTTACCACTCCCCTCCTTCCCCCAACCCATGCTTCCAATGTAGCTGCCTCCACCAGGCCTCAGCCATCTCTTTGGATAGGTCCACTATGTCATTAAAGACCAACCAGCCGTGAACTGTCCTGCCAGTACCCACAGGGACCTCCTCTGAATGCTCCCACGCCAAGCGCCCATCCCCTGGGCCTTCTGCACCTGGTCCCTTCTGCCTTCGAAGCTTTGGTCCCAGGCATATTTGGCTCAGCCTTCCCTCTGCCAGCTGCCTGGCAACTCCAGCAGCTGCCAAGGCCAACTCCCCACTCAGTTTCAGAGCTGTGTAGTGGAGACAATGGATTGTCTGGATCCGGTGGCCACTGACCTTGAGTGTGACCTTTGACACTACCTGACTATTGAGCGTTCTCTCTCTCTCTCTCTGCAAACTATTGCACCTTCACCTTCTCCCCCAGGGCAGGTTGCCTGTCCGTCAAGTGTATTCTATCACACCTAGCCCTACCCAAGCTTGTCCCTGGCCTAGGCCAGGGGTGTCACCCGCGTCCCCACCTTCCCTTCTCCCTCATACCCCACTCACGCACACTGCGAACGTCACCCATTCTCATAACCACCGCTCCCCTCACTCTCACCCGTCTGTTGAGCACCCTCTACAAGACAGTTCTTACCTCCTTACCCCCATGGCCTCTGGAACACACCTCCTCCCAGGCCTCAGCCCTCCCCCATACCCAGGCCACTAGAGTTGCTCCAGACCCAGTGCCCTTTCCCCTCTTGCTTAAAACGTCCCCAGCTAGCTGTGAGCTCTCAGGCTCTGCTCGCTTTCCTCCAACCCAGCCTCACCAATGTATTCTTTGCTGCCCCACTCCCAGGCCCGGGGTTAACAGCCTTCAGGGGACACGTAAACGTTTACTATAAAATTTATGAACATAAGCAAGGTACAGTCTACAGCTATCACACTGTATGACACTCCTCATTAGCGAGTGCCTTGTCAAGTCTGGAGAACCCATTTCTCCTCACTGTAGCTGACTGTGGCTGCAGCTCCTACCATAATTTGACAAGGCTGTGGTGTCTGTCCCAGACTGAACATTATCTCACCACTCTGATGGGTGACTTGACTGCGGGTTGAGACGTGTGTGAAACGAAGGTGTCTCCCCTCCATTCGAGGCTCACGCAGTTTAGCAGAGTCAGAGCTGAAAGGTGCGGTGGTTTAAATGAGAATGCCCCCATAGGGTCATATATTCAAATGCTTGAGCCCCAGCTGGTGGAAGGATTAGGAGGTGTGGCCTTTGGGGAGGTGTGTCACGGGGGGGGGGAGGGGGTCTGGGCTTGGAGGCTTCCAATATTCAGGCCCTTCCCAGTTAGCTCTCACTCTGTGTTCTACTTGAGGATCAGGATGTGAGCTCTCAGCTACTGCTCCAGAGCCGTGCCTGCCTCCTGCCTGCTGCTACGTTCTCTGCCCGATGGCCATGGACTCTCACCCTCTGAAACCGAGAGCCCAAAATTAAACTTTCTTGTATAAGTTACTGCCACAGCAATAGAAGACGAAGGATTCACCTTTGCTTTCCAGCTAACCCCTCTGTAAAGGTGTTCCATCCCTGTCTGCCCACCCTCACAGGGAGGGACCAGTCAGTGGCTTCCCTTAAGAGGCAGCTATGGGTAGAATCGGCTTGCTGGGCCCTTCCTTGGGCCATGCAGGGGCCCATCCAGCTCCATCTCATTGTCTTGGTGGTTCTGGCCACCCTTAACCTGTCCATGTCAGTGGCAGGTGCTTAGGGAGGTCCCAGGGGACCAGGCAGTGGAACCATGATTATTTCTTGTGGTGCCCAAGAGGTGGGTTTTGCCAGGAGGGTGCTGTGTGTCCTCGGATTTTCATTCCCTTGGCAGCCTGGCCCTAACCCTCCTAAAGCCTTGGCCATTTGACTGGCACTACAGGTCTGTGGGTGGACCATGAGCGAAGTGACGGCATGAGGAGCTGGGGTAAGCCTAGGAGATCCAGAGTGGGATCTGCTTCCTGCCCACGTCATTACCCATGCTGCCTCTCTGTGCGGTGTCTTTCTGGGAAGCTCCTGGCAGTGTGGAGTCCCCAGGCTCACAGTCAAAGGAAGCCTCCTGTCTAAAATGAGGGGACAAGCATCAGAGAGGCAGAGGCAGGCAGATCTCTGAGTTTAAGGCCAGCCTGGTCTATAAAGCCAGCTCCAGGCCAGCTGGGGAAACACTATGAAACATCATCTCAGAAATAATGGGGAGGAACCCAGGACTGCACTGGTCAGTGTTTGCATCAAAGTGACACAAGCTAGGGCCATTTGGGAAGAGGGAACATCAGTTGAGAAAAGGCCCACTTCAGATTGTCCTGCAGGCAGGTGTGTGTGAGCATTTTTGATTAATGATTGATGTGGGAGGGCCTAGACTATTTCGGGCCGTGCCATCCCTGGGCTGGTGGTCCTGGGTGCTCTAAGAGAACAGAGTGAGCAAGCCATGGAGAGAAAGCGAGTAAGGAGCACTCCTCCACAGCCTCTGCTTCAGTCCCTGCCTCCACTTGCCTGCCTTGAGCTCCTGCCCTGACTCCCCTCAGCGAGACCTCTATAGGCAGCTCCTCACACTCCTCCCTGTAACTAGCAAACACTTCCTTTTGCCAGACTGTGGCAAATAAACCCATCCTTGCCAAGTCTCTTTATCACAGCCATAGGAACAAATGTGAACAGCGGTCACCATCACTTCCACTGCTGTTCTCCAACCCAAGCGTGAGAAGTCTCCCAGGCCCCCTGACTCATCTCTGCTGGGGCAGGGACATGGTGTCTTTTGCTTCTCCGAGACCCACCTCAAATGGCAATGTCTCCCTGAGGTAAGGAGTAGCCTCCTCAGGGTGTGACCTCTGGTCCCTGGACCAGTCAGCCTTGGGTTTATCTCCTCCACAGAGGGGCTGGTGAGAGCTGTCCCCCTCTTCCTCCAGGCTCATTGGTCCTGTGGG